GGATGGAATCAGAAGAAGAAGGAAATACTGCAAAGAAGATGAAATGAAATTGTGAAAATTTCATAAGACTAACTACCAGCTAGTTAAGCAATCAGAGACCAAATGAGATTTCTGTGTTGCAAGGCACCAGTGCAGAGAAATTATAGGCCATTTATACTGAGAAAATCAAGATAGCCAAAGCTGTGAAAAGAAATGAATCTCCCATTTAATATTTATTTTGTGACATGTTTTGGTTTTATAGTTTTCATGTTGTGATCATCTATACATGACAACAGGGTAAAGCTAACGTCAACTACACTTTTATTCACTGGAAAAACGTTTTGACATTATAGTGGATATAAGTTAAATAGCTACTACCTTTTAGGATTAAGAGTGAAAATAAAACGCCACAGGGTCATGACCCTCAGTTCTCTCTGAGCTGATGTCATCTCCTATTGTATGGATTATACTGTAATGCTGAGCAACGCTGAACATTCACACCCGCTTGCTGTGAAGGACGTATTTTTAGCATCTGCAACATATGTGTTGACTTGGGAAGATCAGTCACATCTGCTGCAGAGCTATATTTATAAATGCTGACGGTTTGATTTCATATGTGGCAACAAATGAAAGCATCAATAAAACATACATTTGTCCTTGATTTACGGCCTTAATATGCCTGACTGTGCGCCGCTCTATGGGTGTATTTATCTAAAACCTAATCAACATGCTGAGCTCATCTTACATTAAATATCAGTTTGTATAATGTATGCAGCTCAGTAAATCTTCTAATGCACCAGAGAAAAAAAAATAGCTTGCATAGAGGAATGCGTGTAGCTCATTAGGTATGATGGAAGTCCTGGCTATCTGGGACATGCATTTTCTTAGACAGAGCTCTCCAACACAGTGTGTGTGAGAGAGCGAGAGCGTGAGCATAAATTCAAACTAATGGAGTCAGCGCATTAAGACGGCGTTCAAGCATTGTTGGTTAAACACTGGATGGATACTGGGATGGGGCTGGTAATTGTCAGATAAACAGAATCTTGTCACTGGTAGCTGCCGAGATGTACTGTGTTTTTATGCTGGATTTGACTACTTGTGATGTATTCAACTACTGATCAATAACAGGAAACTGATAAGAGCCGTTAAATGAACAGAGGGGGCCACAAGATGCAAACACAGGGACAGCCTTTTAGCACAACTTGAAGACAATCCTTTAAAACTCTGACAAGATTATTTTTTGGTTGCATGGAAGGGCTGCTGCTCTTTGCCCATGTGGGTAGTATGATGTAATAGCTTCTTAGCCTACTGTAGCATTGAAAGCTTTTTATATAAATTAACTGTCAAATGGACTCAACAAGGCTGGAATGAAATGGAGAGTGGATTTTGTCGCATTTGCAGAAACGGAGCTACACCAGTCAAGAAATCAGAGATCAAAACTGGCCAGTTTTTCAGTAATCAATTTACTGAATTATCAAAGCTTAATAATAATAATACCATGTTTCAGTTCTAGAAAAAAATGATCTAAATCTGTAAAAAATTGGGAGTTGTAGGTATGACCTGAAATAGAAAATGAAATCTGTACCAGTCAGGATAACCTGATCCCCACATCACTACAATACAACTATAACAAACAGCAGCACCAGGATGTGCCTAAAAACAGTCAGATGTGTGGTTAACATGAGGTATAACACATGTTGTCATTATACCGATTATATCGTAGTCGTTAATCATGTCATTAATGCATCTCAGGGCTTAATGTTTTCATAATTTGTGTGATACATTGACATTTTAAAACCAAATCTCATTAGCGAAAAGTGGGATTTAAAGGGAGTTTCTGTCAAAAGCTTAAAATTAGTTATTGCCTTGTGGCTGTAGCTAACTTATTATGCTAGTAGATAGCTCAATAGGACCGAAGACAAAGCAGTACCAACATAATTAAACAGCAAATCATTGCAGATATATAATAATCATCTGTAACCATTGTCACATTTGTACTGGAAGGTTATCTACAAAAAGGACGGTAATTATTTCACGTGGGAAATGAAAGTAGGAGGCAATTAATGATCTTCCTGTGTGAAATATACTGAGAAAGATGCAATTTAAAGGACGACATGGTAAACGTTTGTAAAATAGTGTTCTGATAAACCTCTGGCCTTTTAGACTTTGAACCGTTGTAAGATAGCAGCGGTTTACTTTGGTCTTGGACGTTAGCTTTAGCCTCTTGGAGCGGAACAGCTAATCTGTCTGAATCAGAGCTCAGATTTGGGAAAGCCGACACACCAATGCTGCACAAATTCTAGTTGCAAGCATTTGTTAAAGGTTGCGCTGCTAAATGCTAGCAGCAAAATAGGCCCATGTGGGAATGTTTTCTGAAGCGGAAGGTTTTTCAACCATTTGTGCCTTGTGTCAACAGAGTCAACTAAGACGGCAGCAACGGCATTTTTATGAAAGCGCTGACATATTAGTGCAACCACTGACCTGACATACAACCCCAAATGTGTCATAGTTGTACAAAACATGGTTGTCTTGTAGTTTATTAGTTTATTAGCTCAGCTTTGTTGTCATTCCACACAAACGATTTCATTTGCATTTTGTTGTTTGGCATATTCGTTGTCTTGGCGCGTCTACAGCTAACACGTGGAGAATTTGGGTGCACACTCCATGCTAACCATCACTTACATGTGGCTGGAGGGGGGAACAGCATTTTGTTCTCTGTGGTAAAATCGTATCTAGAACTGATTCTCTGTGGACAAGATTGTTCCAGTTTTACAGACTGTTTATTCCTAATTGTAATACCAGATTCATGGCCATTATAGTTTGAGTTCAAACTGGTAAAAAATAACTTTTTGGTACAAACAGAATGGACTATTTTACTAAATAAATATCTGCTGTATGTAAGACATGAAAGTCATTACTCTTTTTTTGCTGTTTCTTTAAGGGTGCCTTCTGAATTAGTAGCTTTTAACTTTAAAACTGACTGCTGCATGCTGCAAGAAATAACAACCCTCCAAATCCAATAATGTTGGCAAGAACAATTACCAATGCAGGAAAAAAAATCTCAAGATCTAATTCACCCAGATCTTGTAAAGCCAGTGGTTAAAATTCAGCCCTGACATCAGCCCATCCTCACCCACTTTAGTAGGGCTTGGTCCTGATCCCTTGTACTTCAGAGAGCACAGAGGGTGCAGCATGTTCCACCAACCTGGTTATTTGGTTCATTCACCACTGAGGCTTTTTGCCATGGCTGCAGTGGCAAGGGATTCCCTTCAAGTGATGGGCGAGGCCCCGTTGCTCTGTGCTGCAGAGCGACTGGCTGGGTCAGGGGCAGCTCTGTCCCTCTGACTCGGCATAAATGGGGAGGGGTGGAGCTGGGGTCCCTGCTGGCTACCACTAGAGGCCGGTCCTATAAGCAACATGGACTTCTGCCAATCTCAGCTCATGTCTGACTTCTTTAAGCCTCAGCTGACATTTGTTCATTCTTTGATCTGAAGTGGTCTTGTTTTCTGAATTAGTCTCTCGTGGTGTAAAGGTGAGAAGGATTCCCATCTCTAGATACTCCAACATGATCTACACTCACTACAAATAAAGACTGGGGACTCTATTGTAACTATTACTCTTTTTTTTCTTTTTCTTTTTTTTTTTTTTTTTTAAAGAGCTTTGGCACAGAGTTTCCTAATTTTTGTCCACTCCCATGTGAACTCAGTGTCCATACACGCTGAGGTGGGGGGGAAATACGAGTGAGCAGCAGCCTTTGTGCAGCTGGGATAAAAAAGCTGCATGTGAAATGGTGCACTACGGGCGGGCCTGTGCTGCTGCATCCTGGCAGATGCTGCGGCACGCCTCTGTGTGGGAACCTGCTGGAGGAGGAGGAGGTCCGGGACGCAGGGATGCGGCTGCCGCACAGCATCCTTAAAAGAAAAAAAAAAAACAGCGTTTATGATCGGTGGTGGAGAGGAGGGGGGGGTGGGACGTGCACTGAGATAAATCTGGCGAAAAAGGCGTCGGTCCACCGACACCCACGTCTGACAGGTTCCTATGAGTTCTGCGCAAATCGATTGCGAACAACCTTCAGCTTGCATTGCCCCTTTTACCCCCCCCCCCATGCGCAAAATGCGCAGCGGCCAGGGATTGCCCCGACCCCGTGCAGCTAAGACAACGGTGGCTTTTCCCAGCTAAACGGACGGCTCATTATGTCGCGTGGAAACCGGAACACGACCATCAGCGAATCCTACTATGTCACATCATCGTGAAATCGCGGTACCACCTATAGCTCGCCCTCTCCTGCAACATCTCTCGACAGGATCCTTCTGGTTTTCTTTCAGTGTAACAACAAACATTTTTACATATATTAGGACAGACAGCGATCGGATCACTTGAATGTCTTAATGTGAGCATTTTTTTTTCCTCTTTCAGTGCGCTTAAATCACACAAGCCTGGCCGTGTGTGGGTGTGTGTGTGCGGGTGTGTGTGTGTGTGAAGGATCCTGTTGGAAAAGGCACCGCCCCAAGATCAAACAGTCCGCATTCAGACAACGACAATCCATCGCAGCTCAGCGCCAACAAAAAGCCGCAGATTTACAGTAAATCACTGATTTTTGATCTCATTATAGCGGATCAGATCACTGATACGCAGAGAGAGAGGGTGGAGTGGGTGAGGTGGGGTGGAGGACAGGGACGGGCCTTCATAGCCCCGTTCAATATGATGTGTTCCCAGACCTGATCTGAGCTGTGATTTACCGCTCTCTGCAGCAAGTCTTTCTCATAAATGCGCTCTTCAATCAGATGTTTCATACACCAATTTTGATTGGCTGCTGCGGTAAGGCGAACGCGCGCCAGACCGGAGTGCGGCGGGGCTGCGTTCCCCGCTCAGTCCCGCAGCTTTCTCACTCACACACGCACGCGCGCGCGCGCACACACAAACACACACACACACGCCCAGGCTCGGACGTGGTCCGGTAATTGCCGCACAAAAGTGGGCCTGAGAGAAGAAAGGTCATTACGGCGGAGAGGGCTACTTACCGACTTCATGGCAGCTGCCATATCGTCATACCGCTCCGCCTGCTCGGCCAGCCTGGCTTTCTGCACCAATTGCTCGCGGTCTACCATCTTAGAGGCCGGTTGTGGTGCTTGCCCGCCGTGCGTTTCGGTCGTCGCTGGGAGCTGTAACGCGGATGTCTGGACGCGGTGCAACGGTGCCGGGTGCTGTCGCCGCAGCTGCTGCCTGCTGTCTGTCTGTCTGTGTTGCCTGCGCCGACGGGACACCCCTCCCCCTACACGAGCACTTTCCCTGGCTCGTGTCGCCACCCAAAAAGGCGTGTCCACCCGGAGTGACGTAACGACCCAGGCAGCCGAACCCGAACCCGAAAGAGTTCGGGTTCATACCAACCAGCATAAACACGTTTTGCTGTTATAGGAATGTAAAAGCCTCGTTTCGTCTCATAAACGCCCCTGTTGCAATATGAGGGAGAAGATGAATACTCATGGTGAAATGAATGAATGAAAAAAAGTTAATGACGTCAAAAATCCCTAAAACCCTCTTAAAGAAATGGGGCATTAGGTGTTACTCTGGTAGGAATAATGACATCAGCCCCATTTTAAAGGAATACTTCTGATTTTTTCATTTTTCACTAAAAGTTGCTGTATGTAACTTTTATTAAAATCTGTTTTTGTACATATTTGTTAAAACCGTCACCATGTCGTGACGGATAATCTGTGAAAAGACTGACCTTCCTCCTTGAGCTTTTATTACCGTGTGGGGATGGAGGATGCGCCTCACCAAAAACTACCAATCAGAGCCAGGAGGAAGGTGTTACTGCTGTCAATCATCCTCGTGTACTCACAGCGATATGCAAATGGCTGAGAAATGACTTTTACAGGAAAAAAAGCTTGTCCTCCATCATTGGTGCCTATGCTAACTCTGTGTTAGACTTCCTCACCCTCCTTCATGTAACCTCTGCTGTGTTCCTTGACGCAGTTTTTTTTTTTCCCCAACGTTCTCAAACAAACCTTTGAGGCCTTCACAAAACATCTGGATTTCTACTGAGATTAAGTCACATAGTGTATAGTAACCAGGAGACTTGTAAAGGCAAACAGTTGAACTTTCATTTAAGGGCATCAGTGTAGTCACACCTTGTGGACTTTTGTGGAAAAGTATATATAGTTTTTAAAGCATGTCTAATTTTTTTGCATAACTATTCACTCAAACTACACTGGTCTTCCACATAAAAATCCATGGAAAATGTGGAAAAGTTTGAACAATAAAGTCACTTTATTTCAAAGTGTTCACCTAAGTCTTAGGCTGAAATCTTCAGATTTTACTTTTAACTGCTGTAGTTGTCGGCGAGTGTGGTTTGTTTAAACTACACTTAATGCTGTAAACTGGATATTTTAAGTGTATCCAAAAGTAAGTGTAAAATTTTTTTGTAACAATTGATCATTAATGTTTTATTGTAGTGCCTGTTTCACAAGCTGGAAAAAAAAAAGTGTCTGCGGTTTTTTAGAAACCCAGAGTGAGCTACAAAGTTTAAAATGAATTAACTTGTCAAAGTTACGTTGCAGTAAAGTCTGTACTGTAATCTCAAGCCAGGACAAGAACTGTGCCAAGAATCACATTAGCAGAACTTTACCAGTCAGCTGGGTTCCCAGTTTACAATAATTGGGATGCAATAATGCTGTGCTAATAACATATTCAGACACTTAAACTGCCTGCTAACTGCTGCGTTTTAATAGTCTGTCATTTTTACCTAGAAGTTGGAATTTCTAAGTTCGAAGCTGAAAAACGCCTCAAACCCAAAAAGCCTCTGAAGTCATAGTTTCAAATGGAAAACTCCAGTATATCTAGGTGGATTCCCAACTGTGTTTATAATTTCAGATTTCCATCTCAGACTTGTCAACAGGAAGGGCCCCCAAAGTTGGGAACCTGATTCTGAAGTAGAAGGACCGCTTGCCTCTAAATTATGGCTGCCATGCGTACAATCACCTGGATGGCTCCAGCTTGAAATTGTTTTTTTAGACTTGGACACTTTGTGTCTGTACGTATCAGTTTCCGGTCAGCGCACTGTTCAATTCCTGGTAGTTAAAGCCTTGCAAAAGCATTGATATAATTTGAACATTTTTAGATCTTGTCAGGTAAAAACCATTTTTTTCAGACTAATGTAAAGTAATGCATAGTTGTGAAGTTGGAGGAAAATCATTATGGAGTTTTTCTATTTTTTTAAGACCAATAATCTAAAAGTGTGGCACGCATTTCTATACAGCCTGAACTGATGCCAACGAGGACTAAAATAATAAAGCTGAATGCACTAGAGAGGCACTTTTCTTCTTAAAGGCAAACATAAAACAGCTGTCATATGAATGTATCTTCTCAAACAATAAACCAAATCATGCATTCAGGTTCCTGATAGTTTTTTTTCTTTGAGCATCTGGAGGGTTAATTTTTTTTATAGCTTTCATCCGAGTGTGATTCTGTTGTACTGTAAATTTAAATGGATGCAAAACATGATTGATTTACAAGAAATGTTTACTTTTTTAAAAAGTATTTTAAGATTTTATCTGTAAAATTTGTCGCCCTAAAAGAAATGACTAGCTTCTGAGAGGGGCGGCTGATTGAGGGGTTTGCCCAGGGTGGCAGCAGGGGCTGCCCCTCTTTGCTGTGAATGCTTGGGTGAGTTAGGTTATAGATAAATATCCTGAACTTTGAAGACCTCAAGTAATGGTTCAATCGATAATCTAATTGATGAAGAAATTACTGGTACATCAGCAAATCTACCAAAAACGTTCGTGATACAAAATGGGCAGACCTGACGAGCAGAACATTGATCAGTGAAGTAAAGGAGAGGAGCTGCAGAGATTCACGGGTTTCGGCTTAGCAACCATCAACAATGCGTTCTGCAACTGGCAAGAAGGCGGCCATTATGAACAGAAAACTATAAGAAATCCTGTCTGCAGTTTTTCACACGAACACAAGAAACAAGTTGTGCAGCGATGACTGCAGCATCATGCTGAGATTTCTCCCCAGTGTGGACGAACCTTTGGATAACCACAAGTCATTGTCCATTCACTTCTACTTTTTGTTGTTCCAACACCTGAAATGCTAATAAAATAAAAGAAGGTTGTGGTTGTGGCCTGACAAGCACAGAAGAACAGTCTTACTAGAAACCACTGTAAAGTACGAGTAGCCCAGACTTGTAGTTGCCAGATTGGATAGATGGAGTCCTTGTTCTCTGTCCATTTGATCAACAATGAACATACGTAACAGGTGTTTGAAAGATTGACAAATAGACCAAATATACATACCAAAAAATAAGAACATTTATTTTTGTTTTATTTATATATATATAATTATTAGTTACATTTATTTATGAGGGTGCACAGAACATAAAGATTGCATATATACTTCAGAAATTCACAAGACAGAGTTTTGCATTCTTCTGGTTTATAGCATACAGTACCAAGTCTTCCATTTGTACTTTTATCATATATTTATCACACCTCTATTCTTCCTTCAGTGTCTTCAACAGACTTAAGTGATGGACTTCCTTGAGTACTTGGATCACATACAGTAAATATTAGCACAAAAAAAAAAACAGTTAAAAGCTTTTGCCAAAAACCACCCTCATCGAATGCCTCAACAAACATGGCATCCAGTTCTCTGTCATCTAATTCTGACCCTTTTGTGAGCATTTACTAACACCCAAAACTATAATTGGGAAACTTTTAGCTTAAATATATACTTAAATGTACACATTTGCTGAAATGTGTACATTTAGTTTTAATATCATCTTTATAAAGTGCTTAATATTTATAACTTTACTGTGTATATTATATTATTCCATGGGGTACTCCTTCGACGATGTGAAAGTTGGTATTTACATAATGTGTACAAGTCCTAGCGCGGCGGGAGATGGGAGCGAGGTCACGCTGCGATCACGACAGGGAGCAGGTCACGCCGGCGTCCTCGGAGTGATCACAGTTGTGCACGTTCCAAGATATATGGGAGCACCGCTGCAGGGAGGCCTCCGTGCCGCTGCACTTCAGATTGTCCAGCAGGATCGTTCCTGTGCCAGGTCCAAAGTGAGCCTGTCCCCAAGCGTGCGTGGCTTCCCCGCAGCCCACCAAACGACACACGACCTGGGCATCAGGAAGGTCCCAGGCATCGTCGCACACCGTGCCCCACTGCGAGGTCAGGTACAACTCCACTCGACCCTCGCACTGGTGCTGGCCGCCCACCAGCCTCAGCGCTCCTACGGTTCAATATAGACAATTCAGATTCGCCGCTGAAGCTGTAATACAACCTCGTTCAAGGTACCTGGAGGTGGACCTACCTTCAGCAGGTGTCGTGGTCGCCGGTGTTCTTTCTGTCACCAAGAAGTCACGTGCGATTGGCATTAAAAACAAGGGGTCCAACTGTGGGGGAGCTGAAGAGAAAAGCGGAGAAAGGAGAATGATTCTCTTACCCACTGGACGTACACAGGAATATCAGGTCACACAAGCATTACCAAGGTGCTCTCCTCTAATTACTGCCCAGACCAATAGTGGAAAACTGTTTGCCTCTTGGGTTGCTTTTACCGTTATGATGCAAAGATCCTCTTGCATGAAGTAATTCCTCTGAAGAAAAGTGTTTCTGTAATGAGTTTGATGCATGTATCTATTCAATTTGCTAGCTGAGAGAAGAGCCAGATTAAACGGCTGTCTTTTTCAAAAACAAAAATAGATTTTGTTTCAAATCGCATCAGATTTATTTATATGGCACACAAAGTGCTGCACACAAAAAAGACACATAGCAATTCCAATGTATTTAACATAATACCTGCTGTGGTGTCTGCATGTCCTTAGTCTTTCATTTGTGTCCAAAATTAATGCCTTAAATTTTAAGGCTTAAATGTTAAATTCATTTAAAAAGTGTAAGTTGGCCTTAAATATTGCAGATCTTAAGTTTTGTCCTGATAGGACTATTTAATGTACTTTCCCCCCCACCCCCTCCTGGGACATTTTTGTCAGGCAAATGTCTGAGTCGCATCTTCGTTGTTTTCTGTGACTCCAGTCGGCAACTAGCTACTAATATATCATTGCTAGCTAGCTTAGTTTTCACCTCCATCATGGTTCACAGCTTTTGTTATGCTTGATTGCAATGCAGCAAGTTTCCCCAACCATCCCCTGTGTTTGTAGTTTTTTTGGTCACTAGAAAGATCTTAAAAAGTCTTAAATTTGACCTGTTGCCAGGGATTGTTTAGAATGTGAAGAAGAGCCTATGTGCTTCTGATTGTGCTGTAAAGCTGCTATGTTTGGCCTGCAGCGAGGCTGATTTGCCTTGACTCATTCACTTTATTTTTTTAATGCTTTCCGTGCCGTCTCTAGAGGACTACAGTCATGCAGCACAGGGGAACAGCTCAGCAAGGCAGGCAGAAATGACTGTTTCAATGGAAAATATGCACTTTCAGTGGAAATTGTTGTTCAACTTTGGTGCTAATTTCACAATAAAGACGAAAAAAGTCCTTAGATTTACCATAACCTGATAGAAATTCTAAGAATGATCAGGTCTTACGTGCACAGATGACGCCGGCATCCTCGTGATGACCACAGTTGTGTTGACCCCAGCCCAGGTGGAAGCACTGGGACAGGTCGTTTTCTGTGCCAATGCAGTCCACGTTGTCCAGCAGGATGGGCCCTGAACCGTAGCCGAAGTAGGCCAGGGGCTTGGCCTCGATAGCCGGACCACATCCGAGCGCTCTGCACACCACGTTGGCGTTGGGGATGTCCCAGTCGTCGTCACACACCGTCCCCCAGATGGTTTTGTAGAGGACTTCCACGCGACCCTGGCAGCTGCTGTTGCCGTTCATCACACGGACGGTCGGGTTGCCTGGAGGCGGACAGACAGACGGACAGATCTGTGTGAAGTAGTGCAAGAGTATTCACACCTTGGTCAGAGTTCAGAAAGGGCTTACTGGGGCAGCTACCCAGGGCTCCAATTTTTGAGGGACCCCACAAATGTTTTTAAATATGTTGGGGTTTCTGGACACATTGTACTATACAGAAGCATCATATGTCCATGTCTGGTGAGCTGTAATAATAATTTGGGACTTTTATGAATATAAACAATAATAGAAATGTGAAAATGATGAAGTTATGATACATTTTTGGGGGGAGAACAAAACAGAGTTACTGGCCAAGTGATATGTTAAGCCTACCATCATCAGTTGGTATCAGCAGTTCATACTTTAGAACTACTTATTCATAAAATGGAAAATTACCTTTGGCTTGGGTAGTCGTGGTTACGGTTGTTGTTGTAGTTGTTGTAGGGTTGGTAGTTGAAATTCTCTCTGTCACTGAAGGAAAGATAGGAAAAAAACTTATTCCGGATCAGTCTATTCTTGTTTTGTTTTTCTTTATTTACGTTTTTGTTTGTTTTGTGTGTGGGTTTTTTGTTGTTGTTGTTGTTTTGTACTGGTCCTAACTGAGTGAAACTACTCTGAAGTTTTAAACTTATTCTTTATTTCATGTGTACTTTGAATAAAGGTTAATAATCATGAGTTTAAATTGAAGCATATGGATTCACGCTGTTACATGTACAGTCTTATGTGTGAGTGTGAACTCTTGTTAGCCGAGTCAGAGAGATATTTGTATAAATCCTGCACCTCTCGCCATGATTTGTGTTTACAGTCAAGAGGGACAAAGGGCTCCCTCTAGTGGTGGTTTGCTGAGGGTGCTTGCTATATTTACCTGTGGTGCCTGTTGTTCCCAAGATGATTGTTCGTACGTCTGTAACTGCTGGCGGAACAGTAGTTGTTCCTGAAATATGTAGATAACAAAAACGAAATTACTTTACAGACAGAATTACTTAAAGTATTTACTGAACTATTAATAACTCAGGAAATATTGTAATTGTACGGATTCAACTGCAACGGCAAATTTTAGAAGTTATTTTGCCTATTCTGACAATTAAATGGATGCAAAAATTGGCACATTTTGAGGATTTTAAATAAAACTAAACAAACAATTTAATTCTGTTTTTAATTTAGAAAATAAACATTTTATTTAACGCAGCATTCCTTTAATGCACGCTTGATCATTTGCAGCATCTGCAGCTGATGCAGTACTTCTATTAGCATGTGAAAAGCTTACCCCTTTCTGCCTGACTTAACATCAGTGTGGTCTGACTTTTTTGGATTAACTAATTCATAAAAGATGTGTACTGAGGTATTTGTTTCCCCCCCATTTTACAGAATTTGAACCAGGTGAAGCCACAACTGGTAACATATTTGCAGGCAGTTTTGTTTAATGCAAAATCAATATGTTTTTGTACATTAATGCTCTGAATATGTTGTCCTTTCTGCAAATGGCCTTTTATAAGTCTATATACTCCAGTCAATGAGAAATCGATTACTAAATCAGCTGATGATTATTTCAGTAACATATTAATCATGATGAATCTGATAAATCAATTCAGCCCTAAATGGAAGCACAACATTTAAGATTACAATATTAAACCAATAAAAACATTTCAAAGACTGTAGTACTGTAAATTACCCGCCACTTTGAATAACTTTACTGTCCCACCCCAGCATAATTAGAGCATAGTACCAGTGCAGGTGACCCCGGCGTCCTCATGGTGTCCACAGTTGTGCTTTCCCCAGCCCAGGCTCTTGCACCTCATCAGCTCCTGTTCGTTGCCGTAGCAGTTGACGTTGTCGAGGAGAATGAGCCCGGTGCCGTAGCCGAAGTAGGAGTTGGTGTGGGCGGAGACCGCACTGCCGCAACCTAGCTGCTGGCACACCACCATGGCGTTGCGGAGCCCCCAGTCATCGTCACACACCGTCCCCCAGCTTCCTTGGTAGTAGATCTCGACCCGACCCTGGCAGGAGTTCATGCCGTTCACCAAGCGGAGAGCGCCATCGCCTGAAACCAAGAGAACGAGGGCGGAAACCGTAAAGAGTAATGTGACTAACTGAACATTTTACTCGATGCTAGAGCGACTGAAGCACCAAACTGATAGATTTTGTGTCTGAAAGCTCAGAAGAGGACTCTTACGATATTGGTACAAAAAAAAAAAAAAAACTGAGATAAAACACACTGAGGGCAAAACAGAAGAAGAAGAAAAAAACTTTAGCATCTACTGTTGCACCAAACTTTAACTTTATCACCTTACGTTTCATCCCAGACAAAACGGAGAGACAATAGACATTCTCATGTGTCCTTCAGCTAGCAAGTGTTATAAATCTGGAAGACCTTCTTACTCTTGTTTTCATGATGATCACCAGAGGATTAACTAAATACGTCATATGATCAATTGTATCCCGAATTTGACTCAGCCCTGCATCTCCATGATCCTCTTGGGAATGAATGTAAAAAAGAAAACAACACGGCCAGCACAACAAAGGCAAACCCGGCGAACAATGAGAAGAATCTGAAACTGAAGAGACCTTTCCATCTGTGTTGTGTGAGGGATCCAGTGCACCAAATCCCCGAAGGCTTTTGATGTAGTCTGAATGTGTCCAAATCCAATGACTGATGCATCTCTAAAATGTCTAGCTTTTATTGTGAAGAAATGTGATGACTTAGCCAGGAATACCTGATGTATCGACAAGAAGACGTTTATGGTCTATGGAAACCAGCTTCTGCATTTTAAAAACAAGTATCTAACACAGCAGGTGGCTTTTTTTTTTCAAATATGAATGGATTATTTTTATGCCAGAACACAAAACCCAATTTAACCAGACTCATAAATCATCCCAGTACATTAAAACCCATGCAGTATTCACATGAGTTTATAAATATTTTACAAGTAAAAATCTGGATAGTGTTCTTTCCATTTGTATTCAGCTGCCTTTACTCTGATGCTCCTAAATAAAATCCAATGCAACCAATTCCATTCAGCAGACTCCTAATCTTTAAATGCAACCTACCTGTGCATAATTTAATCTCAGTGCAAATGTAGCTGTTAGAAACACAGATGAACAAACAGTATTATGAGAACTAAGGAAACCAACAATTTTCAAAGACTTAAATAGTCTCTCCAACCAAGCTGTCTGAATTCAAGGCAGTTCTCAACGGAAACAAGGGACAAAAGATTCAAGCTGACCAAAGCTGATGCAGGAAAATTGCTTGCAGATGTAAATTCCACAAAATGTACTTCTGGTCTATAACCAATACACTTAGGTTTGTGGTTTGGTATGAAGTTTTTTATTTACAAAGTACTACTGTGATCCATCTGTCATTAACTTTATGCTAACCTATTGGATGGCTTAATGTCCACATGCTCAGATCTGTGTAGTGAAAATTAAATCTCACTGCAGATTGTTTCGTCAGAAGCTGACAGATGGCATTTTGTCTGCAGAGGACCTCTGAAAAGGTCTGAAACAAAATGGGTGTGCCAGCATATCTGGCTGCAAGAAATTTTTTAATATAAATGTCTTTTCAAAGTGACCATCTGATGAAGAAAGTCGAAAATCAGACGGGGAACACAAGTTATTGTCCTGTCAGCTTTTAGATGTGAGCAGATGTTGCATGTTGTAACTTTTGCCCACAGTGGGCAGGACGAGTGACATTCAGCTGGCACAGCCACGTTTTCAGAATTACATTGAAATTCTCTGGAACTGTTGCAACCGTCTCATGAATTTTCATTTTAGGAATTCCCGCCTAAAATGTATGTTCAGCAACAGATCAATCTCAGTTTTATCAGAGCAGATGATACTTACGTAATCCAGACCTGACCATGGGTGTTGTGGGCTCTGCAAACTCTCTGGCCCCCAAGAACACAAGTTCTAAAGAAAGAACAAATAATGGAAAAAAACATTTTTTAAAACAATTTCTTCTGTAATTTACTTGTTTAAAAAGAGGTTGGAACACGTTTTTACCTCTGCAGGTAACTCCCACATCCTCATAGTGGTAACAGTTGTGGACACCCCAGCCCAGGCTACTGCACTGACTCAGGTCCGCCTCGTTTCCCCGGCAGTCCACGTTATCCAGCGCGATGAGTCCCGAGCCTTGTCCGAACCGAGAGCTGCTCCCCACGGCGACGGCCACGCCGCATCCCATCTGCCGGCACACAATGTTGGCGTCCACCATGTCCCAGTCGTCGTCGCACACCGTGCCCCTCGAGCCGTTGTAGAGCACCTCGACTCTGCCCTCGCACCTGTTGCGTCCATTCACCAGTTGGACTTTGAAGAGACGGCAGGTTTTCAGTTTTTTGTCTTTGTGTCCAAAGACATTGCTCTCTCTATTGTTAAAGGTAAGGAGACTCGCAACTGCTTGAGAACATGTGCGTACAGACGAAATGTCCCTGCGCAATTAGGGGAAAACGGTAAACCAGTAAGGAGAGGAGTAAATGAGTTTGGGATTAGGAGAATGGAGAGCTGGGAAAATGAGCTTGTTTAAGCCCCAAGCACTGATCTATTTCCTGCACTCTGCTTTTCTGGCACCCAGTCAGAGAGTCACCGATACGCTGCCATGGTAGGAGTTGAATGCATTTTTACCCCTTATGGCAGTAACTTCACACTCACCTTGGTACTGCGTCCTCGCGAAGGTTTGCATCGTGTTGCCTGAAACAAAAAGTCAGAGGGTATCGTCAGTTGTTGGTTGACGGGTGTCTATTGGCCCTCCATAGGTGATGTCCTCTTTATCTACTGTATTTGATTTCCTGTAACGCTAGACACGGACCGAGACCACAGCAGAAAGCCTGTTCAGAATGAACCCGCGCCAAAGATTAAGTATGTCACGCTGATCCTCTATGGGGTTTCAGTCTTTAATTTGTTTGTAGTAACCTGCAGATAGTTTTACCTAAACACTGAAATAAATAATGTAGACTTTCTAAATTTGAGGAAATGCCCAATTTGAACATTTTATCAATATTTTCAAATGTTTCTGTATAGTTTAGGAAGATAAATAAAGATATTCTTCAGGAGTTCAGTTGGCTGCTGGTAAAGTCTACCATTGTTCCATCTAATCAGCTATTGATAATTGCTCACGCTGCAGTTTTCTGGAGTCCCAAAGCCTTAGAAATGACCTTTTCCAGACTGATGTCAATGTCCTTGTTTCTGATCTGTCCCATCAATTTCGCTTTTTGTTTTTTGAGAACATGCAACCTGCTCCATGTTAGATGAGTTCTATTTAGGAGGGTTTTTTTAGTTTGTGGTTTTCTACAGGTCTGGCGATATTCAGGCCTGGTGGCTCAGAAAACCAGAAAAATCTGGTCACAATTAATTAATTAATTAATTTTACTTTTAAACCATCAGGTTGCTTGGTTGGAATAATGACATAAAAAAAGTTTTAATTTGCAAAGGCCATCTTTTTCTGCTAATAAAATTGGCTTGATATAAAATATTTAGGCGCATCAAAAAAATGATAATAATAGAAGGGATAAGTCTGGTTCCAGTTTTCCTGTGGAAAGCAAATTCATTATATAAATAACTTTAAAATTTAAATCATTTCTAAAATGTCAGGCAGTTGTCTTTTCCGAGTTTTCCTAAATAAACACTCAAATCTCAAATAAACTCTCACTTGTCCTTTAGCTGATTATAATGCCACACCTCAGTGACTTGGGTCATGTTTTTCACATCCTCATCATTTTTTATATGAAAGCAGTCAAAGTTCTTCTGGTTTTCAATACATTTGCCTTCAGTCCACTGACTAATGGACTAATGGGCAAGTCTGCGCTGTTCACCATGAAGATATTTTTAAATGAACAAAATAGAGAATAAGATCAGATTGCACATTTCGCTGATTTCAACAGATGAAAGTGAAAAGCATTTTTATTCAGCTGATGCTTAGAACTAAAACTATTGAAAGCTGTTGTTTTATTTTCACATTTTTTCTCTTCTCTTTTATGATTAGTGGTGTTCTGAAGCATTAATTTAAAACTCATGTTCCATAAAAGAAGGGAAACTGCTAATGTTATTCCTGGAAAGTATGCCAAAGAAATATTATGTTTATGTTTATGTTCATGTGAGCTGAAAAGCCACATGAAATTATGTCTGCTAAACTTTTTGCCCTTTTTGTTTTTTGTTGTTGTTTTTTGTTGCTGTAAACAAGCAGATAATGTGAAGGACCTGAAAACTTTGTAATGGTCAGCAGGTGTTGACACCTCAGGTTCCAAAAACTGTAATTCTTTCAACTCTTCCCAATTAGATCCATCATTTCCACAAACACACATCTCACTGTCTTATTTTACACACTTGTAATAGGCACCATGCATCCTAAATACAAGCCATTATACATATAACATTTTAAAAAATTGACTAAGATGTTCTTATTGTGCATTTAAAAATGAAAATGTTTTGATTATAGCTGTTAACTCAGATGAAGGACACTTCACTGCCTGCAGATTAGTATCTCAGATTCTGACACCTTTACAAAAACACCAGGATGACCTTCGTGTGACAGCCACTTCTTACACTTTTTAAGTAGGTCGATTCCCAACCTCCTTTATTTGTTTGTGACACAAAGGCATGAGCAATGTGCTAATACAGTTTAGCAGACGCTTTTATATGCCGGTTTGTGGCGTCACATGCTGGTTACTCTTCACCTCTTTTACGCTTTCTTGTTTGAGAGTTTGAGTTCTGCACATGATGTGTAAAAAAAAATGAATAATTGAATGTCACTTACCGGTTAGAGTTCGTTTGTTTATCTTCATGCCTCCTGGAAATACAAAATAGACAAAGTCAGAAAGGCTCACATCTATAGACTCTGCAATAGGATAAAACCAGTATGCAGATGTAAACAGATGGTTTTCCTCTGCTTGGGTTGTTTCACAGACTGGCATTGATCGTGTCTGCCTCTTAAAACGGCTGCAGGGCTTTGGCCGGGTCTGACGGGGAAACAGGGGGTCAGACAGTACCCACCGACACAAAGGCTCCCATCCACAGGGAGTTCGCTTGCAGGTACAACCGGTCCTGAAGCATTATCAGGGGACTCTACCGTGTGTTTTTGGCCTAAATTCACAAATAATCAGCTCATGTGTCCCATTCATTTCCAGTTTCTGGCCTTGATTCTTGCAGTTGTTTTTATTTTGTAGACAAAACATTTTTTATATGGCATGGCCGTCAATTCACTAACTTTACACTAAAACAGAAACAGTGTAGCTGAAATGTTCCCTCTGTGTTTAAACAAGATGGCTGCTGGATGGATGGGAGTAACTTGTAAACTACTATAGGTAGTTAAAAGTATTGCATGCATCTTTAATATGAATTCAGAAAAGCTGATGTTCTTGCTTGCAGATCAAATCTAATGAAATTAGTGGAATCCAATTCAAATGTAAATGCACATAAAGATGGTGTTGGGGGGGAAGTTTACAATTGCTTATGTTTGTGCTATTTTTTTTTTTTAAATCACACACGTTTCAGTCATATTTTAATATCAGAAAACGATCACCAGGGATAATCTCCCCACACATATCTGGCAGTTTTGTGAAGAGCCCTTCATAGCGATCTGTGCCACCCTTGGACTAACAACTCTACTTTGAAGAACCGCTTTTTAGCTGGCCACATTGGAGGGCTTCGCATATGTTTAATGTCACGTCATAGCATCTCTGGCAGACTACAGCCAGACTTTGACGAGGCCACTTGAAAATCTTTGTTTGGTTTTGTTGAGGTTTTTAAGCCATTTCAAAGTGGACGCTATTTTGGCCAAGTTTCTTTTCTTACTGTTAAGTTTCTGATTCAACATTGACTTTTATGTTGTATTGAGTTGCTGAGAGTCATCACTGCACTCTTAGAGTAATTTTGTTAGGCAGACCTCTTCTAAAAGACTTGGTAACCTTTTCTTGATTTCACTCTTTGTGAATATTGTCTCTCACTGTGGTTTGCTGTCTTCCCAAAGGCTAAGAAATAAAGATTTTTGAAACTCTTTCCAAACAGATTAACTTCAATGGCCTTAGCCCGTTAATATTGTCTCTTTGGTTTGTGATCTACGCATGTTCATTACAGTTTGCAGTCAAACTTGGAAGGTCCTGACACCAACACTACGACCCTAATGCGACTTGGTAGTCACAAACGGTTGCAAGTATACATTGGAACTGCAGAGAAAATGTGACATAGGAGATTATACAGAGTGAAGACGACTGCCGAAACAAGAGTCCACATTGTTCACAAAGCAAGGCACCGTAGCAATTTTCTAGTGACCAACTTATCTGTGAGATATGATGTTCTGCATAATGTGATGTGAAATCACATGTAACAGATGGTGTATATGAGAACTGTACCTATATTAAAAGATCTGAAACAATGGTAGAGCATTGAAACATAGAAGCCAGCCCCTTTGGGGATTTCACTTTGGGGAAACTGCCCACATGTCTTGGCATCGCTCAAATGTATTCAGTGAGCTGAATGCCACACCCTTTTGTTTCTGGAAACTCAACTGCATTCTCTGAAAGCACACAAAGCTGTTGATCTCAGTAGATGGTCCGACTGATGAAATTCAGTTTTAATAAAACTTCCGTTTGGTGTGGATAGCTTTAATCTTTTATTAAATTAAGTCATTATTGACAATGTGATCAATTAAGTGTGATAAAATAGTAAAAGCAGAAGAAATCTATAATGGGGGGGGGAAATATTTTTCACAGCACTGCAGGCAAACAACACACAGGCTGGAACATGAAAAGAGGAGAGATTTGCTTTACATACATATATATACATATATATAATTTAAAAAGGAATGTTGTCTGAAAGATTCTTTTCCATTTTAAAGATTTCATTAGACACTTGTGACATTTAAATAAAAATAAAAATATTCAAGTTGTATTACATCTTACCATATTGCTACCTCTATTACATATCATGTTAGTACTGGTACATATTTAAGTAGCTTTAGGTCGGACAGTTGTTGTTTTTAGATAAACCCAGAGTACCCCAGGCCCCCCACCAGACCTACCTAGTCTCAGTACGCCGAGAGGCACCAACACAAAGGAAGCCAGCAGGAACACCAGGAGCCAAACGGCCGGGTTCCAGCACCTGCACTCGCTCTCCACCCCGCGCTGGCCTCGCATGGCTGTCTGACTCACCATCTGGCTGCAACACACACAGTTACAGACTCTCAGTTACTCTCATCAGGGGCACCCAGAGTCCAGAGCTGCATGCGTTCTAGACTCGCAGCAGCCTCAGGCGTGGCAGACACTTTTCTACAACTGAAAAACAATCAGTATTTATTGTCCTGGTTTGGAGTGGTCTAATGATAGTATTGGATTGTTTTATCTGATACGGCCTGCAGCTGTTGTCACTGTGATGTAGCAGGGTTTGGATGGTCTTTTCAGTCGGTTTGAAGAGACGCCATTTCCAGAGATCACTTGATGAACATAAAAGATCTCTGAGTATATCTCTACAGGCACCAGCTCCTGATTCAATCAGGACGAATGTGCTGCTGTTGTGTGCACAAAAAGGCCACCCTCAAACCCAGATTTGGAGGTAGAGTTGCACTGACCGCTGGGATGGAGGGAAAGACGTTTGGGGTTTTGAGCAACACCAGCAGCTGGAGAAGACTTGTGTTACAATCAGAGGCCGATACCTTTGTCCGTGTTTTCCAGGGGATTTTCCTTCGGAAAGGGAATGTCAGGATTCATAGGGATCACTCAGTAATCAGTCAGATAGTAACGACAACGAATTCCTCAGAACTTCTAGTGGATGCTCTAAAGTTGGGTGCTGCGATCTGATAATGCAACAGGGGCGAAAAAATGATATATCTGATCTAGTTCAACTGATCTACTATGGAGTGCAACACACTATTTTGATTAGGTTTAAACCATCAATTGTTGCCGTCTGTTGTACATCCACAACACGGCAAATATCTGCGGACACTTTAAAATGCAAACACCCAACAGACCTTTGAGAACAGTTGTAAGAACCACGCTGTAATTTACAAAAACTCAGCGTGAATGTCGGCCCTGGCTTGTTTGTTTCTCGGCTCATGCAGAATTCCCCCTGACCTTACCCAGGAATGTGTATTAGGGGATAATGAAGGGAGAATTTGATATTGGCCCCTTGAGATAGTGGACATTCCAGGCCTAGGTAGCACACAAAGACATTTCTGCTTTCTGTGGTCCCCCATCGTCAGGCATAAACGCTGCTTCCTGCAATCTGTCACTAGAACCCTCCGAAATGCTTAGGCCTGCGATGACACCGTGAGGGCGCCTCTCATCTCAGAAAGCAGGAAGAAGCGAGGAAGATGTTAAAATATTCTGCCTCTGTACTCTTTGCTTATCTCCAGCCTCTGGAAGCAACTTCTTTGGAAAAGAGCTGATGCAAAAGGACTGTGAATAGCTTTCAGGTTCATCTGGTGTGTAATTGTCTCAAAACATAAGGTGCAGAAGCCCAAAGGCACACAGTCAACGTCCAATTGGGAGGTGGGGATTTTAACGCCACCGCGGCGCTTGAGAACCGAACTGTACGAGCACACCACTCGAAACTCTGGGACAAATGGCTCAGTTATGAGGGATGAAAAACAATCTTGTCCCCAATGTTATGTTTTTCAATACTCCATTCATGGTGGGATGTAGCGCAGATCCGCTGGGGAATAATGTTGCCTTTTGTGTCGGCTCTGCTTCCCCTCCCTTCTCACTTCCCTGCACTGAGAAATAGCTGAAAGATCTCGGCCCCACAAAAATACCCCCTAATGTCTGAAATAAACTGGAGAATATCGACGCCAGCCACCGTTAATGGGAAGAATCTCCTCTTGTTTTTTGAGCAGAAAACCGGTGCCTTTGGCAGCGCATGAGGCAACTGGGTTTCTGATATCCTTCATAATTTCTTCTTTTTGTCAAAAAAAAGGGATAAAAATAAATCAGAATTTGAACAATTGTTTAAAGAACATGTTAAACTGTGTGACTCCAGGTCAGTTTTTTCACTTTATGACAAGTTTAGTGTAGAAAATGGAGCTCCAGAAATATGACCCATGAGCAAAATTTTATTGTATTACATTCAAGTTACAAAAATAATACATACCTGTTAATTAATCTTCACCCAAAATAATAAATAGGAAAAAAAAAAGATTAAAATAGGTTTCCTCTCCTCAAAACAAACGAAAAAGCAAAATCAAAAGAGCTGAACCAGCAGGAAGTTTTAAGTCCACAAATTCCACAGAAAATATTAAAAACTACAAACACAGAAGAAGCAAGAGAACTCCAATATCCAGCACTACGTGTCTTGGGTCTTTCATCTCCTTAGGGCTGCATGACTATAAGTACCTGGCTTCGGTGACATGGGTTACGTAAAACAATAAATGCCACAGCATTGTATGTTAATATTCTAACGCCCTGTACCCGTCTAAGCTTAAAAGAAGCAGGAGGGGCGTGAAAGACACAAAGACAATGTAAGCCAGCCCTTTACTGCTTATCCAGCATCTCCAGTTTCAGGTGGAGCTCTCAGAAGGTGCGGTCCAGCTCATCCCTGCACACAGTCGCAGAGAGAGGCAAGGCTGTGGCTTGGGCTCTCTGTGTGTTTCGTGTTTGTGCACTGGACTCTCCCACATTACAGAGAGCTGCTCCAAATTGGAGGATTCTGAGGCAAACTCAAAGTGATGACTGACGTGGAGAAAATATTTACTTTATTTGCCACAAATTTCATTGAATGCAACTGACAGTTTATGTGATAGACCAACAACAATGTAGTGAATAACTTTTTTTTTTGCAATTAAAATATGAACAGTATTTTGTGCATTTGTATTCAGTTTTTTCTTTTAAATACCACCTTATGATGTAACTACAGCTGCCAGTCTTTTGAGAGGTTTTTTTAACTTTAAGAATTGTTCTGCAGTTGGCTGCATAGCTAAATATCTTTCCATCAACTCTGCCTGGCTTTATTAGCTGGAGAAACTAATTCACCATTTTTTATTGGTCTCATTTGACCAGGGCACCTTCTCCCAAAGTATTTTTTAAGCTAAGTCTATGCAGCACTTATTAGCTTTTGTTCAACAATGGGTTGTTTTTGTTGTTTTGTTTTTTGGCCAATGGGTTTGCCACTCCATTTCCATAGAATTTTATGATGACAGATTCTGCTGTGCAGCTCCTCCAGTGTTTGTTTGCCCAAATGTTGCCAGTGCGTATGAATATTACTGCAAAACACCAACTAGAATGCAGTTTTGAATAGCACATAATTTGCCTGAAGTATTCTGAGAAGTTACAATGGAACATTGGAAGCACTTTAAAGACTTGACATACAAATGTTTTTAGTATGGAAAGTAAAAAAAAAGAAATAAAATAAAAAAAAGCAAAGAAATGCTTTAAAAAAAAAAATTTTTAGTGCTTTACTTTCAAATATGTGCCAAAAACTTCTGAGACCTATCTGACTCATGCAGCAAACTCATCATTTGCTGCCAAAGACTAATCTGTCCTGAGCTGTGGAGAAAATGTACTGGCTGTTTACACATGCGTCGTTACAGCTTCTTTATCATCATTATTTATGAATTATGTAAAAACATGGTGCACATAAATTTGATTTAAGGCAGCATTATCAAATCACTTATCAGGTGAGATAATGCATAGTCTGTTTACCTATTAATAACTGTATCTCACCAGAGGAAACATCACCTCCATTAGCTTCTAACCATAATTTTATGCTTGTTAACTTGCTGCGACAGTTAGTACACAACCTGAAAGAAAACATGTTAGAGACTTGAAAAGATACTAAACATAAAGACGGAGCTACAATAAATCTGAGCTTATGTGGCAGAAAGTCCAGTCATAAAGCAATAGAGCATGGGGGAAAACTTGAACATAGGAGTTCAGAGAAACTTTCCATCATCCCACTGACTGAGTTTGAGCTTTGTTGCAACAACTTTGTTTTTATGCCTTTATCTGGCAGCAACACACCACAAACAGACTAGATGTAGTTTTGCAAAGTAGAGACTCGTATGTAATGATTACAAAATCAAAAAACACCTTTCAGATTTTTGTTTGAAATTTTTTTTTTATCTAAAAACAGTCCAAACATATTGTTTGTTTATCTAATTTTATAACTAATAACTAGAATGTCTCAGTTTACTCACTATTCAACTGTTAGTATTTTTAGAGCACATGTCCAACATAATTATTCAATTTACAATTAAATTATTTTGAGAATACATTTATTCCAATGATATATTCCTCACTCATTTCATAACGTGTGATGGATTTGAGACTAATAAAAATGTTCATTATATACTGTATACATTTAATAAGTATCAGAGCTTCCCATGTAATTTACTGAGTGTGTCAAAAAAAAAGTATGAGGAGAAAATAGCTACATCAGCTCAATACAGAGGAAAAAGAAAAGTTGTGAGAATAAATTAGTTATTGCCCTCACATTGATGATAAATGTGGAGAGCAAAGAAAGAGACGGATTACTTTTATTTCAACAACATTGCAATAACCTTAAGATGTTTTTGTAATATTGCTAAAACAACATTTCCACTTGACAGCACAAAGTCACAGGAACACATCCTTTATTCCAGCATGTGTAGACAAGATTATGTTCAGCTCCGGTCACATTGCTTACATTCCCATCAATGAACAAAACTGATAGGAGGAAGTAATAATCCACACCTCTGAATGGAAATCTCTCTTTTTCCGTGGGATGACTGCGCATCCTACCGTGGAATCGGGCATTTGCTCTCGTCTTACAGATAAAAAAGGAAAACAAAGCACCTTGTGCCAAATAAAAGACGTGAAAGAAGGAGACTTCCGTCCTCTCTGGAGAATAAACCCACGATGTAATCAAACAGTTTCCACCGTTTCTGAAGGCATCAGTTTTACCATGCTGGCATTTTGGTGAAGTCAGCCTATCGTACTTGGGTTATGGAGTCCGTTTTAGAAGAATCTCATTGATGCAGATCATTGTGAGTGGCAGCATATTCCTCAATCACCTGCACTATAATCTCAGTGTGAAGTTTTCACCAAGTTGTGCCATATGACATATTTTTGGCCTCGTTTTGGGGTTTTTTTAATCTGAGATTGACACAAACAAGGACAGTGAGAGATCCGGACGCTTTTGTCTTGCACAATTATTTGAAGTGGGTCATGAAGAAAGCTGGTGTTCCAGGTCCCCCAGGTGGGGAAAGGTACGATAGACTTCAAAAGAGCGAGATACACGCAAATAATTGGGAACTTTTTCCATTATTCCCATAGTATGTCCCAAATTTTATGAATTCGGGTTTCATTAAATAAAAAAAGGACTCATAAACTCAGTCTAGCACATTTGTTTGAAACGGTTTGGTAGCAAAAACGTTGTGGATATTACATAACTATGGACTCCACAAGATACTTGGTTGAAAATTAAGTAAGGAGATCCCTCTTTCTCCTTGGAGAAAGCAATAATGAGACTAGTGAGAGTAATTCACAGGATAGGTCAGCATTAAAAAATAGGAGACTCGAGTGTCTAGAGAATAAAAGGCTGTAAGTCGGCACCGTACATGCCTCTGGTTATTTCTGAGAATAAACCTACTCAGAGAACTGTAATCCAGTAGTTGTTTGAGTACAAATTACCTAAAGTGCCATATTATTCTAGGTTTAAAAGAAGTTCCCAACAGTGTTGTTGGAATTAAAGGTGGTAAGTAATGCAAAAAAAAAAAAAAACCCACCCCCCAAAAAATTTGAAATGATTGTTTTAATAAACTGTTACTGTAAAACACATTCAGTTGAAACCAGATATTTATTTCCTGGCTGACCTTCCAGTTTTAGGTCAGCCAGGCAATTTATATTTCTAGGTGACAGAACATTTTTAAAACTATTTTGCTTTCTTTATAGGGTTTCCCAGTCACATAGTTCCATTTTATAACATAATTAAGTGCGTTACAATCAGTTGTTATAAAAATCCTAAATGTATCAAACATGACTTAAAAAAATTTGACTTTATAATTCATTCCATGTGTCTTTAAGAAACACTCTCTTTTTGATGCTCTTCACATCGCTCCTCTATTAACCTTTTAACTTTTTTAAGTAGCTTAAAAATCTATTTTATATCCCCTTTAACCAAGTATTGGCTTAGAATACAGGAAGGAACTGATGATGATTTTATGGATTTGTACCATGTGGATAGGCTCATTCTCTACGTTCTAGTTAAATGAGACGGTAATGTGGTCATATCTTAAAGCAACAACTCAAACACACAGTTTCCTTGTGTGACATTGTGGGAAACTTCAACCAGAAGGGAATGTGGACCTTCTTGCTCGTGGGCCCGATTTCCAAATACAAAGCGCAACGGTCATCTCTTCAACCATTTACATGCAGGTATTAACACTACGGCAAATTGCTAACAATTATATTGTTTGTTTTGTATCCATGATTAATGTGTTTTGGTGCAAAATGTGTGTAATGGTGAGAATCAATAATGCTGTGTTTTCCTCTATCTGCTTTGGCCATACATATACATACAGCGCACACATAGAGCACACGCTTGCAAAGCTAATGCTAAAGGAAATGACATGCCTCATAAAACCAAACCCATAAAATGTGGTTAATCCGAGTTAATTCATCATTTAACAAATTGTTGGTTTTATGTTTTCAAATGCAAATCTGGAATGTTTTTAATAAATTAAATTGTCATTTAAAAATAGCTTTTTAAATGACTAACGATAAAGCGACCCTTTCCAGTCGCTAATCATTCTTTTAATGCAGCCAGCAGAGTTCACACCTTCGCAGTTTTTAAGCTTCTTTATTTCTTTGTTCGCTGTGGGATTCTTCAGTTGTATTGAATTTCAGCATTCTGATTTAATTGTGAACAAAACATCTCGCCTCCATCTGTCTGCTTGCAATTAAGCCCTTCTTCTAACAGTTTGATGATGTGAGACATGGAGAACTGACAAAAAAGGTAAAAACAGAAAATGTAATTGGGCGCAGGGGGAATTCACAACACTGTATACTTCAGACGAAGTCACATGAACCTTGGTATTGATATTCACCTTTGCCACTGAAATTTGCCCAAGTATTCCTTCACACGTTTTCGCGCAGAAATATGATCTCGTCATAGCTCATTTTTCACCTTATTCCAGTGGAGCTTCAGCTACACGTTCATCGGGAATATAGGACAACATATTGCATTCAACTGGCTGAAGAGAATTAAAGAAAGTACAGCTGCAGGACTCTGGATTAATGGCTGTCTGTCCTTTTTGACTCCTTTGTGCCACACGCAAGCACTGAGACGGGTATCAAGACAGCGAGCAGCCCAAGAACACTGAGTGATAACTCTGGCTTGTGTCCTGAAGCTCTCTATTTATATAAAACTCCCATACTGGCCCTTCGAACACAGGTGAGACTGTCTAAACTGGGTTCATCATAAGCCAATAAAGACAGAAAAAGAGCACAGAGAAAATGAAAGGTAGTGAATTACCGATAGAAGCACCACCCAGCAGCCAGACTGGCTTTGAAGGAATGATATTGAAATGACATGCACATACCTTGGAGGATTTATACACTTCTCTATATTTGCCAAATGATGACCTTTCGGGAAGCACTTCATCAAGGACATGTGGATCTTATTGAACAGTGTGTTCTTGTGGATTATATATTCATCAAAGTCGGTAGGTGACAACTGAAGAGGCCAAGTTTCTGTTTATCCACAGCAAAGTTTCTGACCTAATTTCAGGATAATATGATGATTAAATACAACAGTTGGAACATGGTCTTCTTTTCTTTTAGTTGAACTGTTCTTATGTTACTTGAATTTCTTCTCGCACTCTAACTCGCACTCTAACAATCAAAGATTATTTTATAAATATATATGTATATGATAATTCAATACAGCTATAATACATGATTGAAATAAATGTATAATGTTCATAAAGTTTTATTTAATTTAAATATTTAATGCAGTAATTAAAGGAAGTTAATTATTTCAGCATTTATGATTTTTTAAATATTCACTGTGTCATGGTTTATCTTTGTTCATCAGTCTAACTTCTGATTGGTTAACCAGCACACTAACTTTTTATTGAATTATTAAAATATACCAACAATTATTCATGAATGTACCTATTTTAAATGTGAATTTCCAATTTTATTAAAATGTCAACATATATGAAGATTTATTGAGCAACTTATTTGTGCATTGGAAATGTAGCACATAATAAATTCCAGTTCAGTCATCAAAAAATAAGGCAAGGATTATTTTTACTAATATCTTAAATGTTTTACAGATTCCATTTGTTTTATTTTATTTTGGTGCCCCTTTATTTTGTATTAATTCTTCTGTTTGTTTGACTAAGGGATTGATTTTTCTCCTTCCATTTGGCATCCTTGTTTTCTAGTTTTGTGATATTTTTTAAATTTTTGTCTAAATAAATTTCTCTGACTACTTATTTTTTTTCATTATTCCATGACCTTTTTTTGTGTTTGTTTCTCCTCCGGATTGATAATATGTGGGAAAAATTCTTAAAGTCACAAAAAATTTAGACCAGCGTCTTTTTATTCATTGATATCATACAGACGCGAACAGCAGAAATGAAGCCGACAAAAGTCTGAGTTTATATTGCAATTCACAGGCGGGTTGGATTCCCCTTAATGGGTTGTTTTCACGTAGGACATTGTGGCTTGTTACAGTATATAATGCACAGGTGTTACTCATAGCAGCGACAATAGGCTTGTCATCCAACACCTGGATATTGAAATCAAAGTTTTTCCAGTGGATTCTGTCATAAATGATTTTACACATTTGCACCTGGGCTTTTTTATTATAATTTTTTGGCCAAAAAATATGTCAGATTAGCATATTTCAAATAACTCTTGGTCTAATTTTGGTATCGTTTTGGTATTGTTTTGGATAGGCTTTGCAATAAAGCATACTTCAAATATAGTCTTCTTTAAAGAAATTACAGGCTTTGGGATTATTGAAGGAATATTCTGCATTATTAGGTTATGTTTATGACAATTTAATATATTACTACCACTTCTACAACTACAACTAATTTTATGTCTATTCGTTTATTGTAAGATATTGTGTTCACACTTCTTGACCTGTAATTGCAGAACGTAACCGCTAGTAGTCACTCTAGTCGCATATACTGAGATAAATGCTGTGAGCGCGTTGTGTTCAAGTACTATCAATAATGCTGTACGTACGAGCTAATGTGGACTGATTGATTACTAAGGCTAAAAATACATGGACGAATAATTTTAAAGCACTTTTTTAGAACTTTTTCCTTAGAGAGAGAGGTCATATGTCATTGTATAAATGTAAATAACACCTCTTGGGTGACGCATAACTAAAACGTGTACATTTGGATAAAAGTCATGCCGAAACCCATTTTAAAAACACTGCGCGAAGAAGCTAGTTCTTTAAACTATCACAAAATTCTGACTCGATTGTATTAAAGATGAAAGTCGAGATTAGTTGACGAAATGTCACGGACTCCGGGTATTAAAATTATGAACCGACGTCGCAAAGCAGACCTGAAAGCAGCACTGGTGCTCGCCAACAGGATAACGGTGGACTGGGGACAGTGTGTTGGACAGAGGCAGATAAACACACCTCTTACTACGTGACTATGTGGACCTTTAAACGCTAATTTTGAGAGACAAGAGTTTGCGCGTCAACTTTCTTTACAAGAGCCGTGGCTAAAAGAAGATGTCTCCATCGGCGAAAGTTAACTGTAACCGCAGCGTCCGCTAAGAGGTGAGTTTCATATAAGTTCTAGCCAGAAAACTTAGCTAACTGTTGCTAATCAAACGTATTAGCATTTAGCCCCGCCGACCCTAAAACACTACACACTTTATTTTATTCAACTGCGTAACATTAAACGGTTGAGCTAATTGACAAAATGCCTCCGTCTGGCAAAGTTAAGCTCGTTAATTAGCCCGTGTTAGCGAAAGTTTCCATCAGTTTAAAGCGTCCAGCAGCATCCACTGAAGCGTCACTCGCACCGTTTATTGGCCGTTAAAGGAACGCTCGCTCCGTCAGAAAACACCGACATGCTAAGCTTTAAATTTGAGAACAAATACGCAGTCCGCTTACAGGGAATATGACTTCACCAAAGAATATATCGAAAAAATAATAAAAACATAGGTCAATTGTTTGTCAGTTTTGTGAGAATATTGTATTTGGTGCATTTTATTGGAAGAAAAAAATATGAGCAAAAGCAACTCTAGAAATTCCTTAAAATTAGCTGCAAAAATATTATTTCAAAGCCTATCCTATAGGATAATGTAGGATGAGGCATGTACCAAACAATTATGTTTTCAACTGCTTTTAACAATGCAGTATGATTATTTTTTCTTAAAAATGACTAACTTTTTCCATAGTTGACAGGTGTGAGATTCTTATTTCAAGATGGCGTAGACAAATAAAATTATGGCTTTGGGTGAAACCAGTTTTATTACCTTTTTTAAAAACAGTATTATAATATACATCTTTGCCGCTAAAGTACTATGACATAAAAATTAATACAGTTATAAACATAAGTATTTGATACACAGACTGAAGATAGAAATGTTTAATAGACTTCTGGCAAATGGTATAGTTTATATCTTTTATTTTCCATTCTGCTCATAAAGTAACACCGAGAAAATAATAAGCTGATATTTGTAGGCCTGCAGCCAGCAACAGCAGTAGTTTTATAAGAGTAAAGCAACCCAACTATGATTTTTACAGTCTTTTCTTATTTGATATTTATTGGTGTTGATTTTTGCATAATTCACCACGGCATGAAGAAATTCCTAAGCTGTCTGAGCTATCACTATCACAATATTAACATTCTTCATTTGATTTCTTTGGATTTTTTTTTTCCCCCAAATTAATCCGCATCATTTTTCCCTTTCTCCCACACCTTCTACAGTCTCATATTTCTACTGGTCCAGTGTTTTAAAAAAGTGCATGCTGCATGTTTGCTAACCATCCAGCCATCACTCACCTGCTGCTCTTTCCTGCTTCAATACTTTCCCTCTTGTATTCAATACATTCCCTACTTGCATGTTGTGCTGTGAATGAGGCAGCATGAGAGAAGATAGGGATAACCCTCTGGCCCTGTTGTCCAAGAGGTCATGCCAGAACCAGACGGACTGCAGACAAGAGCTGGAGAGGCTGCAGGCCGACTTGGAGGCGGAGAAGATCCGAACACTGTGGGCCTGCGGGCAGCTCGGCGTGGAGATTCGGAGCCTGCGAAGAGAGGCAGAGAGGGAACATAAGGTGACCGTGAGGGAGCTGGCAGCCAGGCGTTTTTGCCTAAAGGACCGAAACCAAAGCAGACTTCTTCTGGCTAAAGAGGGACGAATAAAAAACAAGGCCCAGTCCTCCGGGGAAGACGGCTTTCATCTCGGCAGAGAACAATCAAAGCTGGAGCAGTTGCTGCTCAAGCTGTATGAAAAGATAAATGGGAAACGGGCAGGTTCTAAATTTCACCACAGGCGGGAGTTCGAGCTAGAGAAAGCCATCTTCCTATGCCGCCTTCTAGAAGCCCATGGGAGGCTGTTGCAGGGGACTCCAAGGTCAAGACCACCCAACTATGTAGCCAAACAATCCTCAAAGAAGCTGGTCTGGGATAACAGCTGTAATCCCTGTCATTCAACATCTCTCCTAACCAGCTCCAGAGCACAGCTGGAAACAACATCCCTCAGAGATTTGCCCTCACACAACAAAAAGTGCAAATCTGATCAGAAGAAGCTGTTCTCAAGCGACAGGTCACAGACTGCTGGGCCATGGACCTCCACCAAGGTCAGGGGTGTGGGTCAGACAAACTCTCTGGAAATGCATCACCCCAACAACACCATCCGTGCAGTTCAGGATAACCATCCATCCCTGTGGGTGGAGTCTTCTTCAACAGACGAGTCATCATTGACCAAATGCCCAAGAAGGAACATGGAGGTGAGTTTACATTTCTAGTTGTCTACTATACAATAAAGAACTAAGTAACACTCTGTGTGTCTGAGACTTTTAGGTCAAAATAGGTTATGCAATTTAATTTTAGATGAATTGTACGTGTTAAACTTGACGGCTCTTTTGATAATTCATTACAGAATTCTTTAAAATTGGAATGAATGTTTTGGCTAGGGTTCCTTTCTCAGAAAAGCTTTTGTTTCTTGTGTGGCTGAAAGCTGCTTGTTGGTCTTCACTGTAAATTTACACAGTGATGTGAAATAAGTGGCATAAATGTGCGTCTCTCATGTGGAAATCCTCATGTATCCGTTGTTGAGGTATAAACAAAGCAAGGAATAAACAGGAAATATGGATTGTTTGGAGTTTTGCTGTGTTGATTCTGTGATTCCTAAATTACAGATCGAAAAGAATGGCAAGATTAGATTTCACAGGAGCATGAATGCCTCTCTACAAGCTGTTGGATGGTAATTTAGAGTGGCAAACCAGATATTATGGTTGTGTTAGTTCGGAGCATTGAAACACTTGTGCTGCTGTTTTAAGGTTTGTTTTCAGTAGTGGCCTTATTGTGTTCCTGAGAGATTTTGTAGGATATTTTGTGTTACTCTGGTTTAAAGCAGTTAGTTTAATTGTGTTGATTATCAGAGTATCAGGGCCTGACTACAAATGTCTAGTAACTGTACAAATAATGATTAGCATCAGGGTTGCACCGATTTATCGGCCAGACGATTTATTGGTGCTGATTTCTATAATTTTGGGAGATCGGTGAGCGGCCGATTTTCACATTTGAATCCAATCTTATCCACAGATGTTATCAACCTTGTCAAAGGCCTAGAAATCAACTGCTGTGCTTTTCTTTTCTCCCAAGAAAGAGGTTTGACTGACAAACTGGCCGACCAGGTCATGTCTGCACATTTACAGTTAACAGTAGTTATTCCATCGTTGCCAATTCAGCAACATTCTTGATATATTGCGCAACATTTTTTGCATAAACACGCAAAAAATGATGTCTGCCGGAATTGGCCAGAAAACTGCATTCGGTGCACCCCTAATTAGCATATTTAATCTTCCTTCCACTTCCTGGTTGCATCACTTTGTCACATTAAATGCAAACAAAACACATTGAAGTTCATGTTTGTTACTTCAGACATTTCTTTCTGGTCCCCCTTTTTCACTTATTCTTCAGAAAAACACAAATCACTCTGATTCAGTTAATTGGAAAATGCCTGACGTAGCAATTATTAATATCTGTATCCATGTGCAGAGAGCAGGTTTTGTGGGTCTGTTTGAGTGGCAGAAATGGGTCAGTCTGCTTTGGATGAGATTAGAAAAGAGAAAATTCAGCATTTCATCAAAGCTTGAACCACTTCTAAGAAAGAAAGAAACACTGTCCAAATGAAGCCACTGTCATTTACAGTCTCTGATTTGAATTTTATAAAGAAATATAAGTAACAAATATAGAATGTGTTCTGGGACTCAGCAGAAAGCCATTCACTATAAAATGTCTGTATTTGATCGACGGCTGCCTTATTAGTCTGTCAAGGCGGCTTTGTGAAAATACGTCTGACTGACAGGATGCCAATGCGGCTGATCTTGACGGACCTTCTTTCTGTCCAACTATGCAGTGTCTGTGGTTTGATGCTTTCTGGAAAAAGCTGACTGGAATACTTTCAGTTGTGGGTATGAACAAGTACAAATAGTCCGTAACCTGACAATAAAACAAATTGTGGATGCGAACCTGGATGTGTGCTGCTGCAGTTATCTTGGAAAATGTTATTATTGGAGTTGGCGCTGTGGGTGCTGCTATCAGTCAGGCAGTAAATTTAAGCCGTAAAAATGCCGAAGCTGGAGCTGGAAGGGTGGAAAAGCTCATTATTGTGGGTAAACTGTTATGAATAATGAATTAGTCTGCAGCAAAAATAAAAAAAACTATTCTCGGAGCAAAACAATGGACTTGTGTGTCACAAGTGGAGTTTATGTAGATTTAAACTTTCTGCTCCACCTTTTCATATTTCTTGTTTATACGTTTCCGCCTAATCGTATTCCTGGCTGTGTCTCTCAATCTCACAAGATTTGAGGTCTTTGGTATTTATTTTTTATTGTTTTATACATTTTTCCAGTACTTTGTTGCAACTTTGCTTTGATTTACCTAGAGAAATGGTAAATCGCTTTTAAATAAATAAAACATACTACAGTAAACTGGTTAGTTAAGAAGTGACAGCTCCAATACTTTGTCATTCTATGCATCTGCCATCAAATTAAGTAAAAGTTAGATGATGGCAAATGATTGTAAGAATAAAAGGTGTCATAAGTACTAATGATCAGTAGAATTACTCAAAATCAATGTATTGGTGGTAGTAAAATTATAAACAAGTTCTGGCTGCATTAATGCTGCAGGTTCTTACTTTCATCAGATTAGAAAATAATAGAGTAGAAATATATTGTCCCACAATGGGGAAATTCAGATGTGACAGCAGCAAGTTAAAGATTTACTTTGAGGATGAACGATATAAAAATAAGAATGAGCAACTGTAGACATCCGATAACATGGGGGAGATCAAGTAGATCTGATCGTGACTTACTTCTCTCGTCTCTGTAGATCCTATGATGCTCAGGAATAAATCACTATTCTGACTTAGTGTTATTGTGCTGGAATAGCGTAAATAATTCTTCTAAAACTACAGGACTAAACAGCAGAGTGGTTGCTGTAATCTGACTACAAACATTCACATGTCTAAGGCTTTTTCAGGAAGCTGTGAGTTCAATCAGTGGATAAGGGTTTTTTTTCTCTCTTTGAAGAGCTGCAGTAAAATATCAGTTTGGACAGGGAACACTTGTTCTTTTGCCTGCCTCCCTCTGTTGCAGTGCCCACTGCCTTCTCCACAATCAATAGGCAGCCACCATCATTCCAGCGTCATCTCTATGGAAACGAGCCGTAGCAGCTGTGATGATTGGGTCCTGTCTCAAAGCTTGCCTTTTTGTGATAGGACGAGGGTAGCAGCACGCCCTGCCCCCTCCTCTCATCGACACTTGCCGTCTTAGACTCCCTGGCTTTTCCCTCCGTCCTCGTTCCTTACCTTTTATTGCAATATAAATACGATGGGATTAAGCAGCCCTGTCGAGTCTTGTGGAATTTGGATTAAAACGCTTTGCGACACGGCCGCCGCGTCAATGACGACAGTGCAGAGGAGTCATCGTGCCAACCACCTCCCAGCCTCGCTGCAAGAATGGAGACCAGGAATGGAGACCTGTTAGTTGGACTCTTTTCATGTTTTCCGGTGTAAATCTAGCCTTGTTCGGGACTCGATTTGAGCCTGCACGTGCGGTTTGGAAATTATGCACGGTGAAAAAGCGAGCCTGCGTGTGCGCCTCTTCCTGTCCCCGCCGAACCTCCGAGACGACAGCAACGAGAAGAAGCGAAACAAGCCACGGTTGTACTCCGCTTCGTCATAAATGTTTGAAGTAAGATGCAAAAGATTGCTACAGCACCACGACAATCAGTTGCCAGCTTTCAACAGCCGAGTCGACAAACATGGAACTGAACATCTTCAATTTGGAGAACGTCACCGCACGTTCTCCAAACTGCATGGGTGTTGCTTAAAGCTCCTGCTTCATTTGGAACTGCCTTAATCTGTCTCTGCTACATAAACTCATTAATACATTTATGAGACATATTGTTTAGTATCTGACAAGAATGCCAAGACATGAACTGTGCTTGATTTGAGACATTCTACCTTTGCTGTGAAAAATGCACTTCCTCTGAAACTTCAGCAGAGCAGGACAATCGTGTTCCTTGTCAACCTGAACAGAGCATGTAGGGAAAACGGGTTAGATTTGGCTCTGGACCTCATTTGGTCTCGCAGATTCCCTCTGATGCTTTTTGCTTAAATAGAGGGATGTATGACCTGTGCGCTCGGCCTGAGCAGCCCGAACCTGCACCGACACGCACAGAGATGGAGAGCCCCAAAGAGACGCAAGCTCTCGGATGCCGGCCCGGCGAGCAGGAACACGGGTCTCGGGAGCAGGATGATAAGAAACGTGGGCTTTTGGACAAGGACATCCCAGCTTCTGCTCGTTTAAAGACGTCGCTGTTAGGAAAGAGGCACCATTCACTTTATGCAAACCTGCGCGGGTTTGAAATGGAAGAATTACGAAAGGTAAGCAGCATTTGTGTCTTTTCACTCCATCTCAGATGGGGGAGTTGACCTCTTACTGTTATTTCAGCTACATTATTAGCATTGCAAACAAATCAGGTCCACCGACTGTTGACACTACATAAGAACTGAATACCTGAAGGTTGTAGGAATGTGCATCCAGGAAGCCTTTGAATAAGGTTTACACTGAAGTAGTGTGAGCAGCATAGTTGTGCAGACAAGTTATCTGGTGCAAAGTTGTGCTTGGCTTGAATTATTCTGATTGAGGATGACCTAGTAGCTATTTTCACTCGTATGGTGTCCTTAAAGAAGGCACAACTCAGACTGGATGCTATAGTTTGTGGGGAAAAACCCTTTTGATTTTACTACATGTTTTTTTGTTGTAGAATTACAGTTTATTCATTCTTGACTAAGAAGAATCCAGTGGAGTCACTTTTTATATATCTGTGAGTTATGTAATAGAAGAATAGAATATAATTCCCTTTTTTGTCCCTCACTGGGGAAATTCAGTGCAATATAGAGAAATGCTTTTACAAATACAGTATTTGTAAAAGTATTCATACACTTTGAACCTATGTTTGCAAAGCAGTTCAAAGCCAGTCGGATTAAACTGAGACTATTTGTAAAAATCAGTTCTGAAAGCTTGGATTTAAATCTGAACCTTGACTAGGTCATTCTGACACATGAATATGCTTTGATTTAAGCCACTGTACTTTTGGTTGTATGTTTAGAGTCGTCCTGCGGGAACGTAGACCTCTCCCCAACTTTCAACTCTTTTGTAACGTCTAACAGGCTTACTTTCAAAATTCCCATCAACATGGAGCTGCTGTCACATCA